GAGTAAAAAAATGTCTCAGAGCATTTTACTCATTTTTTTAGGAATTTCAAGAATGTAACAAAATAAAAAATTTACTAGATCTCAAAAACTACTCGTCGCGTCGTGGAGCATTTTAATTGGTTAAAATTGGTTTTTGACTTCTATTTTATGTCAAAAAAATCGTTTTTTTTTTAGAATTACATACTTAAAATAACGTCAATACGTCRATTTGGAAAATTTCTGAGTAAAAAATTTTGCCACAGAGCATTTTACTTGTTTTTTTTAGGAMTTTCAGGAATGTAACAAAATAAAACATTCACTAGATCTTCAAAACTGTTTGTCGTGGAGTATTTTAACTGGTTATACATGGTTTTTGTATTCTATTATATGACAAAAGATTTGTTACTTAAGATAACGTCAATTTCGGGCAATTTCAAAAATTTCTGGGTAAAAAATTGGTCTCAGAGCAATTTACTCGTTTTTTTAGGAATTTCAAAAATGTAACAAAATAAAACGTTCACTAGATCTCCAAAACTGCTTGTCGTGAAGCATTTTAACTGGTTATACATGGTTTTTGTCTTCTATTTTATGTCAAAAAAATCGTTTTTTTAAGATTTGTTACTTAAGATTACGTCAATTCCGAGCAATTTCCAAGAATTTCTGAGTAAAAAATTGTCTCAGAGCATTTTACTCGTTTTTTTAAGAATTTCAAGAATGTAACAAAATAAAAAATTCACTATATCTCAAAAACTACTCTTCGCGTCGTGGAGCATTTTAACTGGTTATAATTGGTTTTTGACTTCTATTTTATGTCAAAAAATATTTTTTTTAGAATTACATACTTAAAATTACGTCAATACGTCAATTTCGAAAATATCTGAGTAAAAAAATTTGTCACAAAACATTTTATTCGATTTTTAGAAATTTCAGAAATGTAACGAAATAAAAAAAATACTAACTGCTCGTCGTGGAGTATTTTAACAAGGTATATTTGGTTTTTGACTTCAATTTTATGTCAAAAAATGTTTTTTTAGAATGTCTTACTTAAGGTGTCGTCAACTCCTGGCAATTTCAAAAATTTCTGAGTAATTTTTTTTGTCACAGACCATTTTACTCGTTTTTTAGAAATTTCACAAATGTAACAAAATAAAAAATTTACTAGATCTCCAAAACTGCTCGTCTTAGAGCATTTTAACTAGTTATATTTGGTTTTTGATTTCTATTTTATGCCAAAAAAATGTTTTTTTAGAATTTCCTACTTAAGGTAACGTCAATTTTTTTAGGAATTTCAGGAATGTAACAAAATAAAAATTCACTAGGTCTCTAAAACTGCTCGTCGTGGAGCATTTTAACTGGTTATATTTAGTTTTTGACTTCTATTTTATGTCAAAAAATCGCTTTTTAAGAATGTCTTACTTAAGATAACGTCAATTCCGGGCAATTTCGGGAATTTCTGAGTAACAAATTTTGTCACAGAGCATTTTACTCGTTTTTTAAGAATCTCAGTAATGTAACAAAATAAAACATTCACTAGATCTTCAAAACTACACGTCGTGGAACATTTCAGCTGGTTATGTTTGGTTTTTGACTTCTATTTCATGTCAAAAAATCGTTTTTTTTTTAATTTGTTACTTAAGATAACGTCAACTCCTGGCAATTTCAAAATTTTCTTAGTAAAAAATTTTGTCCCAGAGCAGTTTACTCGTTTTTTTTTTAATTTTAGGAATGCAACAAAATAAAAAATTCCCTAGATCTCTAAAACTGCTCGTCGTGGAGCATTTTGACTGGTTATATTTAGTTTTTGACTTCTATTTCATCTCAAAAAATTGCTTTATTTTTAGAATCTCCTAAGATAACGTCAATTCCGGGCAATTTCCAAAAATTTCTGAGTAAATTTTTTTGTCTCAGAGCATTTTACTCGTTCTTTTAAGAATTTCAGGAATGTAACAAAATAAAACATCCACTAGATTTTCAAAACCACTCGTTGTGGAGCATTTTAACTAGTTATAATTGGTTTTTGACTTCTATTTTATGTCAAAAAAATCGCTTTTAGAGATTGTCTTACTTAAGATAACGTCAATTCCGGGCAATTTCGGGAATTTCTGAGTGAAAAATTGTGTCACAGAGCATTTTACTCGTTTTTGAGGAATTTCAAGAATGTAACAAAATAAAACATTTACTAGATCTCCAAAATTGCTCGTCTTAGAGCATTTTAACTGGTTATATTTGGTTTTTGACTTCTATTTTATGCCAAAAAAGTGTTTTTTTAGAATTTCCTACTTCATGTAACGTCAAGTTTTTTAAGAATTTCAGGAATGTAACAAAATAAAAATTCACTAGGTCTCTAAAACTGCCCGTCGTGGAGCATTTTAACAGGTATATTTAGTTTTTGACTTCTATTTTATATCAAAATTTAAGATTACGTCAATTCCGGGCAATTTCGAAAACTTTTGAGTAAAAATTTTTGTCAGAGAGCATTTTACTCGTTTTTGAGGAATTTCAAATTTGTTGCAGCTTTGATGCACTAGCCCAGAATGCTCCTCCTCTTCCTGCTCCTCCTCACCGTATCAGCCGGCGGCCGCCCCCGCTGTGGGGGCCTCCTCACCGCCGCCCGTGGCATCCTCCAAACCCCCTCCTTCCCCTCGGAATTCCCCGTCCCCATCCACTGCGAATGGATCATCGACGCTCAAAACTTCGCCTCCCCCAACACCTCCATCGTGGTCTACCTCACCCAACTCTACGTCCATGAAGGCCTCATCTTCACCGAGTACCAAGTCTACGACCGCACCTACCAGCTCGATGGGCGGGAGATCCACCGCGTGAACGAGACCAACGTGGTCCAAGTGCGATGGGTGCAGTCGTTCCAGAATTTCCTGGTGGTGACTTTGCAGCTTGACAGTGTGGATAGTGCCCATTTGAGGGTGCTTGATGGGTTTCTGGACGTCTATGGGTTTAATATCACGTATGAAATAGCGAGAGGGCCCGCCAGGATGGACTCGTGCACTATTATGGATTGCGGTTTTACGGGGATTTGCTACGACCATTACACGTGAGTAATAGCAGAGTTGATATTAAAATTGCGATCGGATGCAAATGGGCTATAATCGGGATTGGGTTTTATTCATTTTTAAGCSCGGTTTCGAACGGAATTTGCTACAATTGAAATCAAAATTCAACTTTTAAAATATTGCAAAATGGAAATTTGTTTCAACTGTCGGTTTCACAACGATGCCTTATTTATTTCTTTAGTTTTATTATACACTGAGCCACCACGCCCCCGACCAGTATCCCTGCTTTAATCCAATGTACTTATTATTACGTTTTTACA